CGTCGTCTCCAACTGTGCAGCTGTTTCCGCGACTATAACTTTGGCAGCATCTCTTCGCTTCCTTAGCTCTTCCAATTCAGCTTTTCTTGCTACCGTTTCTTTATTCGCGCTTTGCAGCTGCAGAAGTTGATGTGCTAACTCCTGTGCTTGGACACTTAGCTGAAAAAGAAACAGTAAACGAGGGGAATTGATATTATTCCTTTTCTGAATATATGAACTGTCCAAGAAGTGACGAAAATGAGTGCAAGAAAATGGATATGTGGGTCATTTTTGAATCATTCACGAAAAATGATATAAGGGATGTAAGTCGGAGGCCGCAATCGAACCAAACCAAACTAAACGAACTAACTCAAACCAAAACCTCGGCAATGGCTTCACATGAATGCTGCGGCGTAAAACAGCAGTTATCATAATATAAACTAAGGGCTTCGTTACCAAGAAACCAAGCAGAAGTTTTTTCTGAAGGGGTGGTTGAAACAATACAACTAGCAGGGCACTCCCCGCCGCTGCTGGACCTCTACCAGCGACGAGCAAGTACGACCACTACAACCCCCTTCCCCCCATCGATTCTTCCAACGATGTATTTAGGTATGAAAGAGGGACAAACAACAATCAGAAAAAAGTTCCGCGGGCCAAATACGACCCCTCTATCCACTGACTAAATACGAACCTCCGCTGAAGATTGCAGGCGACGCGCCCTGATAACATCGGAGTAGCTCACCTGCTGATTATTTGATTGTAACTCTGCAATACGACGCATCTTCTCATCACGTTGATCTCTCATACCCTCAATTTCGTGCGTGATCTCAGCTATGCGCTCACGAGCCTGAACATGATCAACTTAAGAAAAACATTCTAATTGTGAAGAACCGCCAAAAGCGCACTGATTAAGACCCAGCCCTATAAGAGCATTTGAAGACACGAGGCGCTTGTTGAGCGGATAAAAGAGCAGATATCAGCAACAAGAAAACGGGTGAAGCGACAAGCATTATTCCACGCGGAAACTAACGCCTTCACACATATCTACCGGACACATAACCCAGCACCAGATGACTCGCTGACTCCCAGGGTATACATCGCAACCACCCAGTCGCGACTAGCGCGGCGAAAGAAGTGATGCGAAGAGGGTCACGTGCTCAACATTCGCACCGCGACCAAATTGCTTTAATGTGGCAGTGCTTGGCTGTGTCAAGTTAACAAAACAGCAAATACTCTGCCAGTTTGCGCGACCGCAATCCTCGGCACATCATCAGAATTCATACGGGGGAAAGGGGGAGGCATCCCGGGGGCCTACGGGGCGCTTCCTCGTCAATAACGGCGTTTCTGTGACTGCGAGCAGCTACTCGTAAGGCAGCGCTCAGACTTCGCGACGGTAGCCGATCGATGCGCATGCTTTAGACTGCATCGATCGCGTCGAACGCGCGACCGAAGCGCTGCCTAAAAGGGACGGATTCTACCCATGAGGTGATCGTGAAACGTTTCTTCATTTTTTCACTTGGAGCCGCGGCTTCAATTGTTCTTTGGCCCAAATCTAGCTTGGAAAAGATGCGTACAGTCTTGTTCTTTCAGGAGCTGAATTTGGTGCGTCAACAGTCCTTCTCCGCCTATTATGAAATTTGCCAGGTTACCATAATTGGTAGAAATGTGGCAGGAACCGCGCCAGACCTAGCACCTCTCAAACGCCCCAGCGCCAGAAA